TTCTACTCCCGTAAAGATTTACACCCTCGGAAACCCTGTACAGGGTTGCTATGGGTCGGAACCGACTCGACAGCACTTAACAACAACAACAACAAAGCTTGTTGGGAGTCCTGGTGTAGTTAATGCTCCAGACTGCAAAGCCGTTTGAACTGCAAGGTCAGAAGTTCAAGCTCATCAGCTGCTCCTCGGAAATCCTATACAGGATTGCTATGGGTCTGAATTGAATAGACAGCATTTAATAACAACAACAAAGTTTGTTGACAGATGAACAAAGTATAATGGAAAACAAGGAGATTATGTCGAATAATGATATATGTCTTTTCTAAAAGTTGATTAAAATTAATTCTACAGCCGGGGGGCAGGGGGAAGGTCAAAAAGGAAATGCTTAAAAGGGGGACTAATGAAAAAGCAGAAAAAGAAAACCCAGAACATTATTGTTGTTAAGTGCCATCAGGTTGGTTCCAACTCATAGCAACCCTGTATAGCATTTCCAAGGAGTGGCTGGTGGGTTTAAAGTGCTGACCTTGCAGTCAGCAATCCAGTGATTACCCTACAGTACACCAGGGCTCCATAACATTGTTGTTGTTGTTGTTAGGTACCATGGAGTTGGCACCGACTCACAAAGACCCTATGCACAACAAAATGAAACACTGCCCGGTCCTGGCTTGAGCCCATTGATGCTGCCACTTAGCCAATCCATCTCATTGGGGGTCTTCCTCTTTTTCTCTGACCCTCCACCTTACCCAGCATGGCATCCTTCTCCAGTGACTGGTCCCTCCTGACAATATGTCCGAAGTACACGAGACGAAGTTTGGCCATCCAAGGCTTAACGGAGCACTCTGGCTGCACTTCTTTCAACACAGATCTGTTTGTTCTTTTGGCAGCCCATGGCACTTTCAGTATTCTCCTCCAACACCATAACTCAAAAGCATCAATTCTTCTACAGTCTTCCTTATTCACTGTCCTGCTTTTGCATATATATGAGGTTATTGGAAAATACCATGGCTTGCTTGGGTCAGATGCACCTTAGTCCTCAAGCTGACATCTTTGCTTGTCAACACTTTAAAAAGGTCTTGTGCAGCAGATTTGCTTAATGCAATATGTCATTTGATTTCTTGCCAGCTGCTTCCATGAGTGTTGATGGTTGATCCAAGAAGAATGAAGTGCTTGACAACTTCAATCATTTCTCTGTTGATAAGAATGTTGTTTATTCGTCCAGTGTTGAGGATTTTTGTTTTCTTTATATTGAGATACAATCCATACTGAAGGCTGTGCTCTTTGATCTTCATCAGTATTTTAAGTTCTCTTCACTTTCAGCAAGTAAGGTTGTATCATCTGCAAATTACAGGTTGTTAATGAGTCTTCTTCCAATCCTGATGCTATGGTTTTCTTCATAGAACCCAGCTTCTCGGATCATTTGCTCAGCATATATGTTGAATAAGTATGGGGAAAGAATACAACTCTGTCACACACTTTTCTTAATTTTAAATCATCCCATGTTCCCATGTTCTGTTCGAACAACTGCCTCTTGGTCCAGATACAGATTCCTCATGAGCACAATTAAGTGTTCCGGAATACTCATATTTCACAATGTTGTTCATAGCTTGTCATGATCCACACAATCAAAAGCCTTTGTGTAGTCAATAAAGCACAGGTAACTTCTTTCTGATATTCTCTGTTTTCAGCCAAGATCCACTGGACATCAGCAATGATGCTAAAAGATTATTCAAACATAGGTAATATTTACAGTGGGGCAATTGTGTACTAAGATTTCATGAGGAGGAAGCTTTTGGCCCTTCATTTTTGAGTGGCTCCGATTGCTAACTAGAAGAAGACTAGATGGTATCCTACCTCCTATCAAGGACAAGAAAGTCAGCTCTCTGGATATCTGTCCATTATACTAGGAAGACGTTGAGGTAGGAGCGAATGCAAGGCGTATTCTCCGGCTTAAAATCTGATTAAACAGAAACAGCCTTGGCTCCCTGGTGCCCCTTCTCTTCTCATTCCTCCTCTGCTCTCCCATTGGCACATCTGCCTGGGGAGTGGAAGGGCAGTATGTGTGTCAGGTGGCATGTGGAACCACCAATGATGGAGAGAATACAATGGTCTGGCTGGCAACCAAGGGCCGGCCAAGCACAGTGCCAGCCGGCCAAACACTTTCCATTGAAATGTGAAATCCAAACAATAGCTCTGGGCTCTACAAGTAGAACTGTTACTGGAAAACATAGCATCTTTCTGATTCAGGGCCAGCCCTGGGAAACTGAATGGTGCCAAGAAAGCTGCATAATTAGCAAACGGTTTCACTGCTTTCCTAACATCGATTTTAAGGTCAAATCTGGAACTATGAATTACGATCTCCCAGTGCCTGGGCTGTTGAGAAAAGTTTCGGTCTGCACCATTCCATAACTAGCCGGAGCTGGTACTGTGGCTGATTTAGGGGTCATCAAGTACTACAAGCGGCTATGTAAGGGCAGTGCAGTCCATAAGAGCCAAAGGGTGATCTTCAAAAGTCAACAGGCATTTTAAAATGCATATACACACATTTAAAATTCAGTGGTATTACATTAACACCCTATTAGCCAGAGTCTTAATGGAACATATCAGGTCTCCAAGTTCCTGAGAGGCTGAACAACATTTGGGGAGTTCATTTTGCTTTGTGCAATCAGTATCACACGTTTATCTTTTGCTTTTGTTACGTCTTGGTAAATATAGAATTTCCAGTACCAATTCAGGATAGTCCCAAGGGATGGAGACATAATTAACAGTACTCCAAATACAGTACAAGTTACTTAGACCATCACACTTTAATTACTCTCAGAATCCAAATATAACATAGTAGGGTATCACGTTTCTCCTGGAGGAGAGCACAGCTGTCTAGTGCTCCCTGATACCTCGGGACAGCGCAGTCACTGCACCGAGATACTGTGCTGCGATAAATGCAGCAGAATGCAATTAGGAAGCAGTTCTTCAGGTTACTTGTCTAATCACAAAGTCATGCCACAGGCGGGGCCCAGCCTGCCTCTCTCTCTGGCACTGCAGGGCCTGGGATCTCTGTGAACAGCCCACACAATCAGGGGCTCCAGCTCGCCATCTGTATTATCATTAGCTCCCTAAACCATAAGACACAGAGAGGTCACATCCTGAAAATATCGCAGTAAATTAAACCAAACACCCTCTAGGATGCCCCTTGTAGTCCTAGTGTGGTGCTGTGGGTTAATGTGCCGGACTGCAGTGGTTTGAACTACAAGGTCAGCGGTTCAAGCTCACCAGCCACTCCTTGGATACCGTATGTGGGGTTGCTATGGGTCAGAACCAACTCAACGGCACTTAACAACAACAACAACAACAAAAATAAAAAGAAGGATGTCCCTTAACCATCATGGAAGCTCAGAATCCCCACACACATGATCCTGGTAAATGCTTTTGTAAATCAACTGGCTGAGAAGCTGTTTGACAGAGAGGGATGATTTTAGACTGTGAACTGGAATCTAAAGGGAGATGGGCAAGCCATTTGGACACAGGGAGATTTCAAGGCTGACAGTCTTCAACCAAAAGAAAACACACGGAATTCTTAGTGGTTTTTCTTGTTTTCCTGGGATTTTGTTTTGCTTGTTTTGAGTATTTCATTTCACGTATTTCATGTTCCTCTGGTAAAGAGCTAAAAGCTTAGTTATTGCTTTTTCTTTTTTGATTGCTTCTTCTTCTCATCCACAAGAGCTTCAGTTTTTAATAGCCCACTTTCCATATTGAAATAACAAATAACTTGTTTGAAGGTTTATGTTTTCTGATTGTCAGTTCTATGAATATGTACATAAGGTGCACCAAAATCAAGTAAGCCTCGAACCTCTCCATGCTGAAAGTATGCATACGCAGGAAAGTCCCCATATTAAGCATCTTCACAATAAAATATAAACATATGATTATTTTTAAAGGTTCTAATTGCTTTTTTGTCTAAGTTCCACCCCCATTTTTCCTTCTTTGACTAAAACAAATGATAGCCTCATTGTCTCATTAAAGTGCAGGGCGTACCAGCAATGAATCTTTTATGAAGACTTCAGTCCGCTGCAGGCAGTTTCTCTCACAGGAGAACAGCTTTTCAAAAAGATGCAGCATTGCTTTCTCAAGGCTAGGAAGATGGCGAAGCCAGAGGCAGACTACAGCCGCAGTAGGGAGAGCAATCTTCATCCTTTCAGCAAGAAATAAACAACATTTTAATCAAAATGGATTACTGAAAAAGGAAGATCAAGATGGTTCAAAATGCAATTACTAGCCCAATGTATGACACTTCTTTTCATTAGGTTCAGAAGAACAGTAAATACAGTATCAATGAGTGTCCACCAAGTATCCATTTGCAATATGACTTTGCTTCTACTCTCATTTGCCTTAAGAAATAGAGAAATGATGGATTAAAAGGAAGTGAGAAAGAGACAAAGAAGGCCTAGACATGTCCAGGAATACTTCTGTTGGAAAGTGCATCATAATGGTTTAAAATGAGAATTCAGATTTGGGTTTAAGTCCAGCTCCACCTCCTATTAATTGTATGGAGTGGGAAAGTTATTTAACCTCTAGACCTGTTTTCTCATCTGTAAAATGGACATGTCTCTACCATATTGTTGCTACAAGGAATGACTGCAACAGCACACACACTACTTTATAAATACTAACCGTTTTGTGCAGCTATGGAAGATTTGTAGAAAAATTTATGCACTTGAGTTATGGTGTTGGAGGAGAATATTAAAAGTACCATGGACTGCCAGAAGAACAAACAGATCTGTCTTGAAAACAGTACACCCAGAATGCTCCATAGAAGCCAGGATGGCCAGACTTCGTCTCTCATACTTCAGACACATTGTTAGGAGGGGGATCAGTCCCTGGAGAAGGATATCATGCTTGATACAGTGGAGGGTCCAAGAAAAAGAGGAAGATCCCCAAAGAGATGGATTGGCACAGTGGCAGCAGCAATTGTGAGGATGGTGAGGACCAGGCAGTGCTTTGTTCTATTGTGCACAGAGTCGCTATGAGTCAGTACTGACTTGATGATACCTAACAACAACAACATTTCCAGAGGAAAATGTATTTGGAGGTTGTTCCTGTTGTCTGTAAATTAGGGGCGCTATGCCCCCAGGAATGAGGCATGAGGGAAAGATCTGTGGCTCTCTGGCCCATGGGTGGTGGCTCTGGGAGGGTAGCAGGGCTGTCCTCCAGGGTCCTCCACTGCTCTCCCTGAGAACAGCTGGCCCATTCCACTGGTGGGACTTGTCCTCCTTTGAGTCCTACTTTTTCAGGGCCTCCTGCCTTTATGTGTGGCATCACAGAGAGCAGGGGCCTTTCACAGGCTGCCAACCATGTTTACTGCCATGAAAAAGAAAAACTAAAGCCAGGGACACAAAGGCTGCCTGTCTCCAACACGCCCCGAAAGCTTCCCATCACCGCTGCTCCTCTGCCACAGTAGGAGTCACTCCTGCGTAGGGCTCCAGCTGAAGCCATTGTGCTGCAGGTGAGCGCCCATGCAGCAGCAAGAAAACAGTAGGGTGGGGGACATGGGAACCAATTTCTAGTAGCTTCTCCCAGTTTTTTTTCTCCCTCAACATCACTCCTACGGATCTTGTCCTGGATTAATTTGGGGGCAGACAGGAGCAGAGAAGAAACTGAGGCATGTGAAGGGCCTGTCACAGAGGAAGCAGAAGAAAAGGGAAGGAGGGAAGAGCCCTCTTTGAACTTGTTTCTGGTCTCAAAATCCCAGCCTGATCTTCAGCTCCTTCAGAAGAAGAGATATGATTAATTTGAAACTAAAGACTGAAGACCAGAAGAGTTGTGGGATGACATCAAGAACATCATACAGTAAGAAAGCAAAGTTCATTAAGAAGACAAGAAAGAAGGAAAAGACCAAAATGGATGTCAGAAGAGACACTGAAACTTGCTCTCGAGTGTAGAGATGCTTGAAAGCAAATGGAAGAAATGAGGAGGTACAAGAGCTGAATAGAAAATTTCCAAAGGTGGCTTGAGAAGACAAAGTCAAACATTATAACAAAATGTGCAAAAACCTGGAGTTAGAATACTAAAAGGGAAGAACATGCTCAGCAATTCTCAAACTGAGGGAACTGAAGAAAAAACTCAAGCCTTGACTTGACATATTGAAGGATTCTTGGTTTGGCACTGTGAGATAATGCACTGAACTGCAAGGTTGGTTTGACTCGCAAGGTCAGCGGTTCAAGCTCAACTGCCGCTCCTAGGAAGTCTTATGGTGGTTGTGGTGATGTGCCAAGGAGCTGGTTCCAGCTCATAATGACTCTGTATAGGGTTTCTGAGGTAGTAAATCTTTACGGGAGCAGAAAGCCTCATCTTTCTCCTGGGGAACTGCTGGTAATTTTGAACTGCTAACCTTGAGATTAGCAGCCCAGCTAACCCTATACAGGGTCGCTATGAGTTGCAACCAACTCGACAACACTTAACTACAACAATGGACAAAATATTGAATGAAGCAGAAAGCATCAAGTGAAGATGGAAGAATACATAGAGTCACCGTACAAAAAGAAATGGTTGATGTTCAACCGTTTCAAGAGGTAGTATATGATCAACAGTCTATGATACTGAAGAAAGAAGTCCAAGGTGCACTGAAGGCATTGGCAAAGAACAAGGCTCCAGGAATTGATGAAATACAAATTAAAACCTTTCAAGAAACTGATATGGCACTGGAGGCACTCACTCATCTATGCCAAGAAATCTGGAAGACAACTATCTGGCCAACTGACTGGAAGAGATCTGTATTTGTGATCATTCCAAAGAGAAGTGACCCAACAGAATGAGAGGTCACCAGACAATATCATTAATACTTCATACAAGTGACATTTTCCTAAAGATAGCCCAAAAACAGATGCAAATGTGCTCTGACATAGAATTGCCAGAGGCTCAAGCCAGATTCAGAAGACAACATGGAACGAGGGATACCAGTGCTGATGTCAGATGGATTTTGGCTAAAAGCCAAGAATACCAGAAATATGTCAACCTGTGCTTTATTGACTATGCAAAGGCTTTCAGTTGTGCAGATCATGACAAACTATGGACACCATTACGGAGAATGAGTATTCTGGAACACTTAATTGTGCTCATGAGAAACCTGTACATGGACCAAGAGGCAGTTGTTAGGACAGAACCAGTGAACTCTTGTTCAAAGATTAAACTTAGGAAAAGCATGCACCAGGGTTGTATTCTTTCATCATACTTATTCAATCTGTATGCTGAGCACATAATTTGAGAAACTGGATTATATGAAGAAAAATGTGGCATCAGGATTGGAGGAAGACTTATTAACAGCTTGTGATATGCAGATGATACAACCTTCCTTGCTCAAAGCTAAGAGAACTTAAAATACTTAACTGATAAAGATCAAAGAACACAGCCTCCATTATGGGTTGCTCCTCGATGTAAAGAAAACAAAACTCCTCACCTCTGGACCAATAGACAACATCCATATTAATGGAGAAAAGATTGATGCTGTCACAGACTTCATTTTGCTCGGATCAACCATCAACACTCATGGAATTCAACTCAAGAACACTCAAGAAATTCAAGGACGTATTGCATTAGGCAAATCTGCTGCACAAGACCTCTTTAAAGTGTCCAAGAGCAAAGATGTCCATTTGAGGACTAAGGTGCGTTTGACCCAAGCCATGGTATTTTCAGTAATCTCACATGTATGTGAAAGTTTGACAGTCAATAAGGAAGACTGTAGAAGGACTGACGGATTTGAATTAAAAGTACCATGGAATGCCAAAAGAACAATCCAATCTGTGTTGGAAGAAGTGCAACCAGAATGTTCCTTGGAAGCCAAGATGGCCAGACTTCATCTCTCATACTTCTGACATAGTATCAGATGGCACCAGTCATGTTTGGTAAAGTGGAGGGTTGGAGTAAAAGAGGAAGACCACCAACTAGGTGGATTGGCATAGTGACAGCAGCAATGGGCTCAAATGTAGCAATGATTGTCAGGTTGGCACAGGACAGGGCAGTGTTTTGGCCTATTGTGCACAGGGTCATCATGAGTTGGTACTGACTCGATGGCCCCTAACAACAGCAGTTATGATCAGGTGTTAGGAATAGCCTCTGATCTGGGAATTAGCTAGGTGAAGAGTAGTAGTTGCTGTTGTTAAATGCTGTTGAGTCAGTTCTGACTCATAGCAAACCTGTGTAGCGTTTCTAAGGAGCAGCTGGTGAGTAGAGAGACGAAAACCCTAGCAGAGGAAATTGGCAGTCATGAAGGTTCCAAAACAGAGAAAAGCAACATCAGAAGTGAGAAAAGCCCAGTGTGGTCCACAAGATGCAAGGGGCCATGGCCCCCATTGAAGTTGTGGGACATCACAGACTAAGATTTAGGATTTCATTCTGTTTAGCCAAGCCTCCAGGATTTTAATCAAGTGTGTGATAATTTGGATTCATTTTGAAAGAGAATGCTGAGTGCTGTGTGGGGAATGAGTATGGAGCAAGAATGGGTGCAGGCATGCCAATGTCCAGAAAGTAATGGGGTTGACCTGGACTAGGGGTGGTCATGGAGAAGGAGTGGAGAGTGCCTGAAACACATATCAGCAGGAATAGCAAGAGAAGGTGGTAATTAATTTGATGAGAGGTGGGAATCAAGGCTGTCCCAGGTCTCTTGAGCAAGCAGGTGGTTGGACACACTATTAAGGAAGTGGGGATGAGCAGGTTTGCAACAAGTTTACTGGGCACTCATTTTGGGGACTATGAATTTAGAATGTCAAAGTCACAATCAAATGGAGACAGCAAATACATTTTTGAATGTGCACGTTGGAAGTTCTCATGAGAGGTCTCAGCAGGAGATGGCATTTGGGAGCTGTCGGCAGCACACTGTCACAGAATGGGCGAGAACTCTGAGAGAGGAAAGAAGAGGACTAGGCTTGGGTCCCAAGGAATGCCCACACATAGGCATCAGTCAGAGGAGGAAGACTGCCAAAGAAAGGTCTGCAGTTAGAACCCACCAGCTGGTCTGCAGAAGAAAGATGTGGCAGTCTGGTTCCATACGATGACAGTCTTGGAAACTCTATGGAGCAGCTCACTGTGCCCTGTAGGGTGGTTATGAGTCAGAACCAATTCTATAGCAATGAGTATAAGGCTGAAAGGGAGCCCTGGGGTGACATAAATGGTTAACACACTTGGCTGCTAACCAAAAGG